CAGAGTGGGTCCAAAGACTGGCACAGTCAGGAGGTCTGAGAGTGGGGGGGGGCTTATGGGGGTTCAGGGGTGCCCGCGTGGCTACCTTCCCGGTGCTTGAGCAATGGTGGCTGGGTCGCGAGCTGGCATGGCTCTACTTCCCATGGTGGATCGGGGCCCAGGCTTCCTCTCAGCACTTGAGCGACGGCAGCTGGGTCACGAGCTGGTGTGGCTCTCCTTCCCGCGGTGAATCAGGGCCCAGCCTACCTCCCCTTTTCAACATTTTTAATTGGCCTCAAATTCACATAACATGGATGAACCACTTTAAAGTAAACAATTCAGGGGCAATTAGTATATTCTTAGTGTTGTGCAACTACCACCTCTATCTAGTTCCAAAATGTTTTCATCATCCTAAAGAGAAACCCCCTAACTGTTAGGCAGTTCCTATTTCTTTTCCTCTCAGCTCCTAGATACCACCAATCTACTTTGTCTCTGTGGATTGACTTATTCTGGATAGTTCCTATAAGTGGCACCATATGGAGTAGTATATGACATTTTGCATCCGTCTTCTTCACAAGGTTCACCCACATTGTAGCCTGTATCATCAGTACTTCATTCCCTTTTGTGGCTGAATAATACTACATTGCAAGAATATACAGTACCACATTTTGTTTATCCATTCATCCATCAGTGAACACCTAGGTGTTAACTATGGCTCTTACGAATAATGCTGTTGTAAATTTGTGTTTACATGTATTCATTTGCATAACTGTTTTCAATTCCTTCTGGAATATACCGTGGAGTGGATTTATCAGGTCATATGGTCATGGCCATTCTATGTTTTTTCACTTTTTGAGCACCCATCACAATATCTCCCACAATGGCGAAACCATTTTACATCTCCACCGACAAGTTTCAAGCACAGGTCAGATTTTATACTTCCAGTAGAAACATTCTAAATGTGTCACTGAGACATTTAGCACGAGAACCTTCTAAAGAGCTGGCTTCCAAACTCACAGAACCCATGATCTTTAAGTGAAGACACAAATTTTGCAATTACATATCAGCAACAAGTTGAAGAATAATTCAGACAAGTAATAGACTTTGCCCATTTCCTTGCAAGCTATACTTAGCTATGATATGGGAAGCCATTATCTACAGTTAGCCTCCACTACTACCATGTTCTCAGGACTAGAGGTCCATAGTGACTGTCCCAACCTTGGCCAGGTTCCTGGGAGCACAGAGCATTCTGATAGTATATGACCCAGTGTTCAGAGCTGCCAAATGTATGAGGACTGAACTCCACACATATGACTTGTCAACATCTGTGAGCCAGAAATAAATAGGGACACCTTCAAAAAAAAAAAGCTGCCAACACAGTTGTTGATAGGAGCTGTTGAGGAGGAAAGCAAGGTCATTACCAGAGCCCACTGAATCAGCCCCATCAGAGAGGAAGGGTGTGAAGCTGACTTCTTTCTTGAAACCACCTGGATGAAAGGAGCTGAGACCTTTTTTAAATTTACATATGTGTATTATTTGACTGGTAGAATAAAAATACTATTATACTGTAACCTTCCTTCCCTCACAGTCTGTTGGCTGAAGAATCCACAACTTAGGGGGTGGCTTTCCTAGCTGGGACCTGGGAGAAGGTCTTTTCTAGTAGCAATGGATCCTTGTGGTTGAATAAGGGGCTGCAGGAGGAAACAGACAAGGGGAAACAGGGTACAAGTCCAGAGGGGGACCTTTGAGAAAAGAGAGGAGCTGGGGCCCTGGACATTTTCTGAGTGTGCGACCTTGGGAGGGTGGCAAGGAGAGAGAAGGTGAAGGGTCTGAGAGCTAGGAAAATCAGTGCTTCCTGTGGGCATGGCAAGGAAGACTCACCACGTAGCAAGTCTTCACAGTTCACTTGTAATCTCACCAGGCAAGGCAGGGTCTGAAATCTCATTTTATCTGCCCATGAACAGGAGGCCAGGGACTCAGCACTGATTTGAGACCCAGCATTAGATGCAAGGGTGCCATATCTCACAGGTTGAGCAGCGCTTGTCTTCCCTCTCTGCCAATAGATAATGAATGAAAAGCCAGATTTCCTTCTGAAGGCAGGCGATCTTGGGGCCAAGTGGAGAACTAGCGATGTCATAAAGGGGAGTGACCTTCCTCCCTAGCTTCAGGTGAGAGCACTTGTTGTGACTTTTTAGTCTAACTCCGGAGGGACAATTGGCAGGGTTACTGATGTAGTAGGTTGATTATTGACCTTCTTAAAAGATATGTCCACATCATATACCCCAGAACTTATAATATGAGTTTCTGTGTATGAAGCATCTTTGCAAATACGAAGCTAAGGATCATGAGAAGAGATCATACTGGATATGGCCCACTTGACTCCTATAAGAATAAGTATCCTTAAAGAGAGCCACATGAGAGGGACACACAAAGAAGACAAGGCAATGTGACCACAGAAGAAAGACCAGTGTTATGTTGCCCTCAGGTAAGAAACACTGGCACCACTAGAGGCTGGAAGAGACAATGAAGGAAGTATTCCCAGGTCCTCCAGAGGGAACACAGCCCTTCAGAGACTTTCATTTTGTGTGTCTGGCTTCCAGAACAGAGAGAGAATAGATCTCCATTGTGTTGAGCCATTCAGTTTGTGTCCGTTTGTCACTGCAGCCCAGGGAAACTAATTCACTAGGACCACACTGAGAGATGATGTGACTGGAGAGACAGTCTGGTTGATGAGATGAAAACTGAGTACTTGTCCCTAGATTTGCTGCTGGTGTCCAAAGTGGAAATTCTAAAACTTTCTTCTGCCAGGTTTATTTCCTCTTGGGTTCCTCATGCATTTATTCCTCATGGCTCCCCTGAGCATGCTTCTCAGGACCAGAGGAGGTTGATCAGACCCCCACAGTTATTCAGGTTCTAATAATAATGGTCACACACTGGAATCTTTGATACAGACACTCTCCTTTAATCCTTGAAATAATCCTACACAGTTGGTCTTCTCACCCAGCCTCTGAAGGTCATGTAGCCTGTTCAGGGTCATTTTTGGGGGCCAAACCTTGAACCCAGGTCTGCCTGTGTTCAATCCACCGCATTACAGAAGGCTTCGGCCTCATAAAGATATTTGATCCGGCATCTCATGGCACTCAGCTGCCTGAGAAGACTTGTTTTTTTGAACACTAGCAGCACTGGTATTGGGGTTTCTCTTCATTTCTCTTTGGCAGTGAGGGTCTGAGCAATGGCTTGATTAGAATTAAGGATGTTGAGATGACCTAGTTACCTTGCTAATGGCAGATGGATGGCAAAATACCTGCATTCACAGGGAAATGATATCAGAACTGGAACCAATCAAGCTCCTTTGTGCCCCAAAGGCTCTGAGGTTCTTTCTCCTCCCAACCATGTTGGTATAAGAGATGACTCCCCTAGCCCTGCAATTGCTCTGGCATAAGAAGTTGGAGCATCTACTGCTGCCTCAGTCCCGGGTTCTCCTCACACTGAGGACATCCTGACATAGCTCACTACCCCAGGTAGAAGGACAAGAGGACACTGATTAAGGAGAAAGGTCCTGTCAGGGTCAACTGACATTATTTGGAGTCCTGTCTTTGTGAGGCTGGACTCAGGTGAGCTCTGACTGTCAGGGGTCCTTGTGCTTTCCAGAGTCACCTCTCCAGAGTCTGGGCTGATCTTTCTCTTGTCGTGGATGAGGCTGGGATGTGGCCAGTATGGCAGCTTCTCCCTGTCCTCCTAGCAGTCCATGTAGGAGGGACTGCAGCTTCAGGGAGACAACCCTTGGGCCTGCCAGATTTCCTCCCATGTGGACCTCTGTGCAAGATAAAGTCAGGCCAGGACCTGCCACAGGACAAGCACATAACAAATCTCCCTCTGGCCTCCTCCGGGGCTTATTGTTCTACTGCACTTGTTTTGAGTATGATCAAAAGGAAGGAAGAACACTGTGCTATCAGGCTGAGGAAGAAGGATGCTCTCCTGACCGTTTCTGTTGCCCTTGGCCACTTCATTTTAAATGTGAGGAAACTGGAGGGCAACATGCAGTCTAACCCCCGTCCGTGTCATGAGGTGCAGCCAGCCACAGCTGAGGTCATACTGGACTCAGTGAAGCAGCAACTTCTGTCTACAGTGTGATAGCCCCTTGGTGTTTCAGCCCCGGTAATTTTTCCTGTGTAGGCTAGAGCATAGGGTCAGTGACAGTTTGGGGCAGGAGCTGGAAGTAGGCCCTGGAATGACCAAGTTCCCTGTTGTTTATCCCTTGGGCTGAAAACTGAGGCCATAAGGCCACAACTGTTGGAAATAATAGGCTAGAAAAGGAACTCCCAAGTTCCCAAATTTGGCTGGCTTCATGCCTACTTCTCAAGATAGTAAACAGCTCAAGTTCTTGGGAAACGTGGTCAACTTTAGGACTTTTGGCCTCCTTGCGCTGAGCCCAGGTTCAGGCCAGAGCATGGATGGACAGAGTACCACATCAACCTTGGGGCTGTGTTCCTGTGAGGAGCTAGAGCAGAGAGGGTCAGCTTTCCTTGTACACTTAAGGGGTAGGAAGGGTAGTACTGAGTGTTCCTCTGACAGAATCACAGGCTCTGTGATCCTCTATCTCTCACAGATGTCTGTCCTACCCAATGCCAGACGTATCCGCCAGGTGCCTGACTGCCTCAAACCGGTCACCTTTGTCTGGGCTGGAAGGCCACATGTGAGCCAGCAAAAGCCTCAATGGAAAAGGATGTCATTGTGCTTCCTCAACCAGAAAGGTGGTCTTAGTTTAGCCAGGCAGCCCAACCAAACAAGCAAAAAGCCTGTCAACTGAAAGATGGGGCTGCTGGGAGATCACTCAGCAACACAACAAAATGGGAACCATTATCAGACTTGTCCCAGCCCGAAGGAGGCAGAGGCTTTGAAGCCAGAGACTGGCTGAACAGAACTTTCCACCTGAGAGGCGCTAGAGATGGGAGGTCAGGCTACAAGCAGCCCCCACAAAAACTGATCAAAGCCTGCTGCAGAAAGGAGGGGACACACAGCTGCAGGCCGGCTCCCCACATGGGGCCGCCCAGGACTTTCTGAAGGCAACTGGGCTGCCTGTGCAGGGACCTGTGGGAAAACCCAACACAGATGCACTGTGACGCCAAGCCCCAGAGCTCTCTGCTGGGAGAGGGAAAAATAAACCCCTTAGTGGTCCTGAAAAGAAAAGGGAGGGAATCAAAGCATACAAAAAAACTGCAAAGACCACCCACCTGATGTGCGCCTACCTTTCGGAAACAAATAACTCCTGGCTTCCAAGGCATACTTCTGAAAGAACAAACAGACTGAACACCGCCGCCACAAAGCTCCATGCACTAGGGGATTTGTGGGAAGCCGAGGCCCCTTCTAAGAACGGGAAGCTTAATTTAAAGTGGTGCCTATTCAGGGGCTTCTTTGCATCCGCTCTCTTCCTAGGAACCTGAAGTACCAGAACCCTCACTGAGGGAGGGACGAGGATGCGTCTCTCAGACTGGATGGTCGGATCTGCCAGGGCACATTCTAGGGGCATTTTCCAGGCTGGCCCAGGGCAGTGAGGGCAGCTGTGAGCAAGCTTTCTGCTGGATGGCCAGCTGGGTCCTGCCAGGACAGCTCCTGCGTGGCAGCCTCAGCCCACCCATCCTGGCCTCACCCCTCCTCCTCCTCCCTGAAGCCCTGTTTGGAGGACTGGCTGTTCACAGAGCCTGCATTTTGATCTTTTCTGAAGAGGGTGTAACAAAGCTAAGCCACTTCCCCTCTACTCTCTGCTTCTCAAAAGAATGGGAGACCCTTTTCTTCTTGGGAATGGGCTTGGAGGGAGGGAAGGGGCATAATAATGTGGAGACCTTGGAAGATTTGGGTGGAGGAGGAAATGGCTTTGCCTAGGAGTACTTGGGGAAACTGAGATGAGAAGTTTCTAGAACTACAGGTTTAACCACTGTCATTCCTTCCAAAAGGGGTGGAGGGCTGGACGGAGATCTTCAGGAAAAGAAGCAGAGCTGAGGAAGAGGCCTCTCCTTGCCCCTTCTCTAGAGGCCATATCCTAAAGAAAGGAGGCAGCACAGGTTGACTGGGCTTCTCCCGCCACTCAGTAGATTTAGATTTTTGTGTTACTTGACCCGGTGAGATGCAAGGGGTTATCTCCATTTTACAGGTGACAAAACAGAGATAGGTGACCCAGGCTCTCCAAGAACACAGGAAGAACTGTCAAGCTGGAACTCAGCCCTCAGGCAGCCTAGCTCCAAAGTTCATAACCTTTCCTACTCATTCCAGTCCCACCCCACCTCTCAGAGCTGCAAAGATGTTATTAGATGTTCCCTAAATATTTATTAGAAGGAACTGGACCAAGCAGTTGAACACACGCAGATCCTTTGAGGGTCTGGGTTATGGAAAGAAATTCTTTGAGACAGCAAATAAAATCCTGCTCTGAGGTACAAGGAGACTCTTTTTGAAATGAATACCTAATAAAGTTTATGTGGACCCCCAAAAAGAAAGACAGAAGGGAACTGGAACTATATAAAAAGCAGAGTAGGTAGATAATAAAACTTCACAGTGTTGTCTTTCATCCAAGAAGCACAAAGCATCACAGGCATTAATTACATCTTTGATAGGTGCATGTTAACTGTAGCCCCTGTTTTAAGCATACACATTCTCATACAAAAAGCTTTAGCAATTCTCTCCAAGGTGAGCAGGTACAGAGAGCTAGGCCTGGAGCACAGCCTGGTCCCCCAGACCTGCACTGGATGCTGTCTCCAGCTGTGGCTTCAGACTCAGCCAAAGGAGCCAAGGGTTTCATTGGGAAGTTTTTTGGGGGCATGGTTGCCCGAGAGCCCTAGGATTGAAGCTGGACAGAGGAATGAGGCCTCAGCTTTGACCTTCACACGGTACAGATACCCCTTCTGTCCACCCAGATGCATGTTCTTGATTTAGGCATGTGGTCATTTGTGTACCTCAGGGAGTTCACTCAGAGTCAGCAGAGCACTGAGGCCTGGGCAGAGTCACTCTCTTTGGGTAATGCCACACTAGACAGTGAGCACCTCTGCCAGTGGAGGCTGAGAAAGGTATCTGCACTAGTGTCCATCGACGAAGGTGGAGAAGAAACACTCCTGGGACTGTGGTGCTGTTCTGCCGTATGGAGGCTGAGACTCTAGAGACAAGAAACAATGAAACTGCAAAGCAGTCATCTTTTGTTGTTGTTTTTTCAATCATGTCTTTTCCTGACAATAGATAGATAGATAGATAGATAGATAGATAGATAGATAGATAGATAGATAGTTTTAGTGGCTCTCTACAAAGGGCACCAATCATGTCTTTTCCTGACAATAGATAGATAGATAGATAGATAGATAGATAGATAGATAGTTTTAGTGGCTCTCTACAAAGGGCATCAGACACAAATTCTCTTACTAGACAGTGGAGTCCATTTGTGGCCTGGCTGAGGCTCCAGTCTTCTTGCTTGCTCTTC